TTTCAATTCAATTTTATTTGTATAGCGCCAATTCATAACAGAAGTTATCTCAGGACACTTTTCAAATAGAGCAGGTCTAGACTGAACTCCTTTTAACAATCACAGAGACCCAACAGTACCACCACGAGCAATAAGTAAGTAATAAGCTTTGACAATGTTGACTTGCACTCTACAGGAATTAACTGTAAAATATCAGGATGCCTCGCAGGCAGTTGTAGGTACCTCTGATTTTGGGGGCTCAAAAAAATGAATACAAATAAGACTGGAAGTCTGTATTAGTGTATGTTTTTTATATGAAAAATATATTTCAAAAAAATGGGACACATCGGTCACAGTCTCATTAGATTGTGGGTGTGGGATTACACCTACAGAATGTCACTTTGGCATTAATACCCAGTGCTGAGGACTATTGATATACTGACCTACGAAAGACTTAATAACTTAATAAACAAAATAAAAATAAAAATTGTAAATTGACATTCAGGTGGAGAAACGTTTAGTAACACTCTACAGATACAATCAAATTCAGTTTAAGCCTCTAGGCAATGGAGAACTAATTAGGATTTATAAGCAGGAGGTGCTATTGCAGGCAGAAGATAGACCTTTTAAATAACTTTCAGGTAATTTTTTTGTTTTATTCTTTTGAAATACTCTTTTCTGCCAGATAAAGTTTAGGATGTAAAACTAATGACGAATGTTTCCTCTAGTTTCTTTAACTCCTCTTTACCAGACATGGAGTTCCTTGAGGTCCTCACTGAGGGTCTCAACCGGGTCCTCCTGGTCCGCGGAGGCGGCCGCGAGGTTATCACTATCTACTCCTGAAAGAGCAGTCCCCTCCCCAACTACCACCCACCCCCACCGCCACCCCTCCCTCGGCCCTGTTCCTGTGTCACCTGTACTCCCACCCTCTCATCAACGCTGCTTCATCATCATGTCGCTCTTGCGTTTATTTCTGTAAGATAGTCCTCTCACACCCAACCAACGGCCCGGTCCAGCTTCAGCACCTCTCCCTCAGCTCCATCCCCAGCAGACCAATGAGCAGTATCACATGCTCAGCTACCAAACCCTTCATTCAAGTCCAATAAGCTACTATAACTTTCGTAGGCTCTAGATTAATTTAGATGCTATCTAGATTTGTTCTCGAAGAGACTTTTATTTTCTTTGCTAGTCTGTAATCTACTGTAGTAACTCGCATTGAGTCGGAGTCATTCGGTAAGGAGGAGGTGGTGGTTGCGGGTTGTTAGCTGAGGTGTGAGCGCACATGCATGTTGTGTGTCCGTCTTTGTTTAAATCTCTGCAAAATCTTTTTTTTTTTTTTTTTTTTTCAAATACTAATGTGGCATAGCAGCGGCTTCTGCTTGGAAAGAACGAGAGCCAGCTGAAATGAGCTCAGTGTACGATTGTCTGTTTGGTTCCCTCGTTGTGATCGGACACCTCCTGCAGCGCTCCCAGCCTGTTGTCTTTGATGTGATTTATCTTTCAAGGCAAAAAGACACTGCTACCCACGGTCAGGACCACCAGCTGGAAGGAGGAGAATAGAATTGTTAAGTATGAACTGTGAAATTCACATTGATATTCGAAGAAGACTGAAAAGTGGATCAAACCTTCGGTATTATCTTTTCTGATCATCTGATCACTCCTTAGCATGATATCCTTATAACTGTGTGTGATTTTACCTCACTTGTTCTGTTACTGCCATCACCGTCTTTCTACCCATTTCTCCTTTCAATTCATCTCTTAGTGGCTGTTTATCCCTGTGGCCACTGTTAGTGCCAAAAAAAAAATACAACAAGGCTAGCTTAGTCTGTAGAGATTGACACGTAATTAAACTGTGAATAGTGCGTTTCCTAGCAGAAGGCTGGTGTGACAGCAGAATGGGGAGACAGTACAAAACCCCCCACCCCACCCCCGAGGAGACTATCATTGCCAGCACCCCTCGACCCTCGTGTGGATCACTGTAAATAATGTACAAGCTCTGACGCGTTGTTCAGTATGAGTGTAGTATTTTTGTGACATACTAAAAAGCTTCTAGTGGAGAGAAAATGCTCCTTCGCTCAGAGGGACAGCTGTTTTTAAAATTGATTTATTTATTTATTTATTGGATGGCATAGGCTCCTGTCACTACGGTAACTGTCATTGTAACCTCGACAAGCACTGCACCTGCACTGTCCTCCACTGTGCAACAAGTGAAATTTTGATGAATTCATCAAGTTCATTAAATACAAAAAAATACTAAATGTTATTTTTTCATCTAGAGAACAAATATGTATTTATGTTTCTAGACAGATGTTACACATATAGAAAATAATAGTTGTGTCATTTTGATTGTCACTCAAAGATATATTGTTGTTTTGCCTAATTTAGATACATTAAATGTGCCATATCAAAGTATTTTTCAAAGAGAAATAGTGAACAAAAATTCTATTGCTTAAATCAGAAAGAACAAAGTATGGTAAAAAAAAAAGAAAACTGAGGTGTCTACATGAAACTAGTACAGTGATGACACTGTAGTTGGAAAGTCGCCCTATAGATGATAAAAGAATAGATGTTCAAACCTCCATAAAACTACTATCGCTCAGATTTCAAATAGGCATATCAGCTCTTACCGAGGTGAGATTTTGAACATCTATGGACCGATTGTTTATAGGGTCTAGTCTAAATAAATAGAGAGGAGAATGGCTTCTGTAGCTAGGAAACTCACTTTGTCCACAAGACTGAACTCTATGCAGTAGACTCTCCAGTGAGATTTTATATCCTCTAGATTGGTTAAGATTTGAGCCACACATGTCCCTGACTGAATGACTTGTGAGCAAATCATATTTAGGTTTAAAAAAATAAGTGCATCTTGGAAGGAATGTGCAATAGTTTGAAATCCGGACTCATGTGATCATGTTATTTATTTTTTTACACATATATTTTGTATATGTAGATTTCGTAAGTCTTTAAAACAAAAAAAAATCCAGAATCATCTCACTCTGACCAAGGACAGCTGTCACTTTTACTTTGATTTGGTTTCTTTTTCTTGAAGAAACTGTTTTTGGTCATTTGCACTTGTAGTAGAAATATGAATATAAATAAATACGTATATATATACAGTATATACAATATAGGGAAGCAAAACAAATTAGTTTTTAGAACTATTTAAAAACCGTATTAAATGTTTTTAGTGTTGCTTGAATGTCTGACCATATGTTGTGAATGCTGCTAGTATCTATAGATTTATTTGTACTGTAAATAGAGATGACTAAAGCAACATTAAAGATCAAGTGGAAAAGGGTATAGACATACATATCAATGGTGGTGGTTGTCAAACAAGACAAGGCTGTACCTGTAAACATTTGGCCTGTGACCTCTGAACAGGGTTAGCTTTCTGTTTTATTAGAAAACTTTACTGAATACCTTGATGCAATATTACAACTGAGGGCAAATCCGACACCCTTTTTTTTCTTTCTTAAATGCTCTCTGGATTAGTACCTTCTTTAAATCCCGTAAGTAAAGTGAACCAATTTTAAGATAACAGGTTAATTTCACGTAGTTTACTTACTACCGAAATAAGTTTAAATATGAATATTTCTGATTTATCTGCTAAATGTTACTGTTTGCAAATTTTTAACACACCTACCTTTGACACCTGTGATACTTAAGAAGCAGCCACTCCTAGTTTTCAAAGATGTTAGGGTGCCAAGTTATGAAGATTTTCTTTAATATGCTTGTCGCACTTAACTCTGACAAAGGGGTTGTTTAACGCTCACATCAGTTTTTGAAGAACATGGCTTTTTTGGGATTGTGTCCACAACATTGCCTGCATCAACTGAGCCTTTTAAATTTATTCAAAAGAGAAGATATCTGATGTTTATTGGAGAAGTTTATTGGAAATGAATTTATTTATTGAATTATAAATGTTTTATAATTGCTGTTTGCATGGTACTATGTGGCAATATTTGTTTTAGTGGTTTCTATAGTGATGACTTACATGTTCAAGGTGCAGAGTGGGGTAAAGGTTGTCAGATGTTCTCACTGAGTTTCAGATTTTGAGAACTCAGAAGTGTTTGCCGCTCAGTCGGCGACATGGCCAGACCTTGGAAACAAGTCTTTTGCAAAAAATAAAAAAAGTATGAGTTCACTATATTGTTACTTGTTATATTTCAATCTTGCTCAAGTAGTCTTATGTAATAGGAGATTTTGAGTTTGCGAATGAATGGGCCTTAGAAATGGTCATTTCACCTTTGTAAATATATATCACTTAAGTCAGAGACACTGTAACCTACTAGTGTTGTCTTTTGTTGTACACTGTTCTATCACTGTGGACAAAGTCTTAGAGTTTTGTATGATTATGTGCAATATTGTTCTCACATTAGTCATTCTTCATTTTGTCACAGTTACGTTATTTCTTTTCTATAAACAACTGGAGGTGTCAGCAGTCATCTTATTTCATCAGAATGTTTGTCACCAGGTCTTACAGACAATAAAGATCTACAGTGTTCATCCCAGATGTGGCTGAGACAGCAAAGCACTTTACACTGAGGGGGTACTCTGTGACAGGATCAGTCTGCAGGAGTGAGGGGGGGGGGGTCGAACAAGAGCCAGTCTAGCTCTGAACAGACTCTATCCCGCAGTGATCTCTGGTGGCACACGAGTGTATTACAGCCAGCTGTGAAGGTCTGACGGCTCAGACTATAAAATATGATTAATTTCCCATCAGCTTGCAGCAGTTTTGAACTGCAATAATCCAGAGACCAACCTGCTGATTTTGTTTACGAACATACAATCATTTAATATTTTAGCATGCATCACATACGTTCCTTTCTCTTGCCAAACTTCTTAAAAAAGAATAATAGTAACTGTTCAATTTATAGTGCTTGTCACTCAATCTGTGAGGTGAGCCTTCCCCGAATCCCTCCTCCACCTCCCCCACTCCCTCACCCCACCCCCACCCATCTGCCCCCACCAAAATCCATTGGCCTCCCCCATCCCAGCAACTAAAACCACCCCAGCTCTGTATTTTAAATGTGATTGCAGTATAATTCTGAAAAATGATCAAAGAATATAAAACTCGCGCTTCCAATTCTGGTTACTGGCTCTGCTTGGACAACACAAGATAGTCGACTTAGCAACCAGCACGTCCCCTCTCTCCCCCCCCCCCCCCC